GTAAACGCCACACAAAGTCCGGCCCTGAGGCCGCCGCGCAAGCGCAATGGCGCAGAGCGGCCGCAAACCACGCCCTCCCAGCACAGCGGCGGCTGGCACCCACCCCGACCCACAGTGCGCACGCGCAGCGGCGCGAGGGCGTGGCAACGCGACCAGCTCTCTTGAGGGCTAAAGTTGTCAGAGTGCAGCAGCGATTTAGAATTCGGCGACATTGGCTCTGGTTCCTCGCCAGCCTTGCCTCAGCCAGGCAGTCCTGCTGGCGAAGCGGTGAGCGCAGTGCCTCGTGGTGGCAGAGCTGAGGAGATGGAGATGAGCAAGGACAGACTGGTGGACACGCCAGCGGGCTGTGCGCGCGGGACCTCTTGAGTGCAAGGGACGGGCGGAGTGAATGGCGGGAAAAGGTTCCGGAACTGAGGGGCGGGCCAGAGTGTGATTGACAGGCGAGAGACCAATGCTGGGGTAAGGGCCGGCCAATGAGGGCGACAGCTGCAGATGAACCGGAGTGGCGGGTAGGAGTTACTAATATGATAGCAGGTGACCCGTGTCAGGGTCTTTAACTTGGCCCAGCGATGGCAAGCACTTTTCATAAATTGTCTTAGAGGTCAGTACAACAGCATGAGTGAGCACTGTTACCCATGTCTGTTTTACTTATGGGGAAACTGAGGCTTAGAGATACTAACTTAAGTAAGGACACAGCTGGGATCCCAAATTTGAGAACCTCACCCTAGAGCTCATCCTGGTAACGGCTCTACATTTCTGCTGGCCCTTAGAACTGGGAGTTAGGGCGGAACAGGGTCCAGTAAGAGGACTGGGATGAATGCAGTGGACCAGATTGCAGGCGGAAGTGTCAAAGCAATGAACTTAAATACAAATAAATAGCTGGGTGGGTCATACACAGTGTGAGAGCACAGAGGGTGGAGATGGCAGCGGGACAGGGCAGAGCAAGGGGAGAAAGCGGGTGTCACGGGCCAGGCTGTCCCCCAGCTGGTGGAGCATGGTTGGCACTGCCTCTTGACGTGGCTCTGGATTAACCGCAGGTGCAGAAAGGTTTTCTCTTGAGGATGGTGGTGTTTTCCAGGTGTGTGAAGTTAAAGCATTTTAGGAGCATAGCTGTATTACAGTACCTGCAACACAGTTGCCTAGTCTGCTGGAGCTGCCATAACAAAGTAACATAGACTGGGTGGCTTAAATGACAAAAATTTATTTTCTCATGGTCCTGGAGGATGGAAATTCCAAGATCAATGTGCTCAGTTCCTGATGAGGCCTCTTCTTGGCTTGCAGACGGCCACCTTCTGTGTCCTCACATGGTGGACACAGATCTCTTACCTTCTCTCGTTATAAAGCCACCTGCACTTTTATGACTTCATTTAACCTTAACTACCTCCTTAAAAGCTTTATCTCCAAATACAGTCACATCGGGGGTTAGGACTTCACCACATGGATTTGGGGGGGACACAGTTTGGTCCATAGCAATAGGATATGCTGAATGAGCAAGTAACAAGTGATTGGGGGGACTGAAGGAAATGAACACTTTCAGAACTCACATGCACCTGAAGTGCTTTCACAAATCTTACTGAGTTTAATGGGCATGAGACCTGCCGTGCTGGTGTGCGCCGTAGCAGTGGAGTAGCACAAGTTCCGAGGAGAACTTGGGTGGGAGGTCATGGTGCTTCCACATAGCCACCCTGAAGAGGCCTGAGAAAGTCACACCACATGTCCATCATGGGGCTCAGTGAATCCATCATTCTCAGATTTATCTAAACCTTTCTTTCACTGTCTTGTGGTCCCCAACCCCTGGGGCAGCAGACCAGTACAGCCCGTGGCCTATTAGGAACCAGGCCACAGCCACTCCCCATTGCACTGCCTTTCCCTCCCCTGCCTCCTGTCCCCCTCACCTCTGTCTGCCTCCTCTCTGTCCATGGGAAAATTTGTCTTCCATGAAACTCAGGAACCAGGCCACACATCAGGCCGTGAGCTGCAGGCAAGGAGCGAAGCTTCATCTGTCTGTATTTACAGCTGCTTCCTATTGCTGGCATCATGGCCTGAGCTCCACCTCCTCTCCCACACCCCAGGCCACGGAAAAATTGTCTTCCATGAAGCCTGTCCCTGGTGCCAAAAAGATTAGGGACCGCTGACTATGATGTAGCCTGTGCTGCTTCTGGAATAATGAGAGCCACCATGACCTCCCCCAGGGAATTGAAATAATTACTTTTTTCTGTATTATTTCTTGTTGTCATCATAGAGTTTGGTGACCAAGTCCTTTTTCTTCCTGCTTGCCCTGGTAGGAGAAAGAGTGGTGCAATACAAAGCTCAGGAGCTTGGGAGTCTGCAGATATGGTACCAGTCCTGGGTTGAACCACCTGTCGAATGACCAGCACTCAGCAAGTCACTTAACTTTTCTGAATATCAGTTTCTTCATCTATAAAACAGCTGAGTAAAATACTGAGAACACAGGGTGGTTGTGAGGCCAACTGAAAACAGTTTGAAACTATTAAGGAACTGGCCAAACTGGCCATTGGACTAGATATTCATGTCATGGGACCTCCTCTGCTCACACCAAGAACAGAAACCCCAACTACAGGCCCCACATCTGGCTGGCTATTCATTCATTCATTCATGCATCAGAATTTTATTAAACACCTGCGAGGTGCTGAAGCACCTAGTTCTGAGTCCTGGGGCCAGGGAAGAACAAGACAGACAAGCTCCACCCATTAATGTAGCTTATATCCCAGTACGAGAGACAGATAAATAAAATTCGTGAGGTAGTGGTAAGAGGTATGCGGAAATGAAATGCAGGGTAATGTGCTGAGAAGAGTGAAAGCACGCCCCAAGCCTGCTGGAGAACCAGACTGGGTGACACAGTTTGTGTGGAAAGAAGAAAGGGACCTGATGGACCAACTGCAGGTGAGATCTGGGGTAAAAAGGGCAGTGACTTTGGGACGACGCCAAGGCTCGGGGAGCATGTGTTCGTCTTTGAGGGGGAGGGGCTCGTCAGTCTCCCTTGGCTTCCCTGAGCTGATGGTGCTGTGCTGTTTCCAGCTGATGTCAATAGGCGTCCTCCGGACAAGGGGCTGTGGTTCCCATTTGTTACTCACCTGGGAAAGGAGAGTGACGTCATTGCCATTGGCAGCGTGGTTCCATGGCTGCAGACTCAGTTAAGGAATGAGTGTGATTGGGGGCACGTGGCTTTGGGAGGGAGCCTGCAGCAACCTTGCTGTTGCAGGGAAGGGGAGCTGTCCTGTGCGGAGGTGCAGGCTGAGTAGCCCCAGATGCTTTGGGAAAGGCTGGGGGCTTCCCTCAAGAGTTTCCTCTATGTCTGCCTCACCCTTTAGGAGGAGCAGATCCGGAGGAGGAAGCGAGAAGAACGCCTGCAGCGGATCCATCACAACTCGCAGCTCGAGAGTGCAGCCAAGCGCCTGGTGAGTGTCATCTCAGGGAGGGGCTGGGGTCATGTCCACGCAGTGTCACGCTGCATAGAGACTCTGGAGAGTGGCCAGGCCTCGCTCTCCTCTCCCCGACCCCAGCAGGCTAAGTTCCCCTCAGCCTGGAGCTGGGCAGCGTGAGCAGAGCAGGCCCCGATCCCTGGAGCCCGTCCCTTCTCCCGTGGAGCGGCGAGGCCTGCGCTCACGGGCACGCAGGGGGTGGACACACCCGTGCTGAGACGTCTCCCACTTACCCACCTCCAATACCCTGTCCAGAGACAGGAAGAAGAAGATACTGTAAACCATCAAGGCATCCTTAGTCTGAGTGTTCCTTTTCACCTTAAGGCTTCTATTGATCCAGACTGGTAGGTTTTTATTAATATCTTACAAGCCATAACATGCCCATCAGGACACTGGGAGTTGCCGTCCCTGTGGCAACTGGAAGTCTTATCTCTGGGGCGCTAGCACTGGGAGGTCAGTCAGAAAGGCAGTCAGTGGCCAGAAGCAGCAGCTGGGGGTGTGGGGGGAGGGTGGCACGTTCCACTCTGATTCCCACCCAGAGGAGCCACTAGGCAAAGTCCTCCTCCCTGGCTGTAGTCACACCGTGGGTCTCTGTCCTCAGTTGTGAACCCCAAGGTTAAGAAGCCATTTATGAGGGGGACTTCAAGCCTGCTCTCTAGGGGGCTCTTGGTCTTCCTTCCTCAGATGGACAAGGCAGGTCACATTCTCTGTAACCTGTGCAAGGTGGTTCCCGGAGGGGTGGTCTGTTTCTTCCCCTCTTACGAGTACCAGCGCCGGGCCCACGCCCACTGGGAGAAGAGTGGCCTGCTGGGCCACCTGGCCACAGTCTAGCCCCTTGGAGAGTAGGTGGGAAATTAGGCCACACCTTTCCGAGGACTCTGTTCATTGTAGACTGGAGCCTCCCCCACCCTGAGGTCTGGTTCTCACTGCCCTGTCCTGTCCCCACAGTTTCAACGGGAAAAGCCTGCCTCTTTCTGATGCACAGGGACACCACTGCCCCTGCCAGGCCCTTCCTCAAGTGCAGTGTGCTGCCAGGGCCCAGGCACAGGTGGACGAGCCCGTGGGAGACAACTTGGCTAATCCTGGAGAAACGGGGGGTCCCTGGGCAGCCCCCTCCCTGGAATCGAGTCTGTCTGCCCTTTCTCTCTCTCTTCTAAATTTAAAATAGTTCCCATTTCCAGCCTCTAGTAGGCCTAGGGCTCCTCCCGCCCAGGGGATCGGAATGTCCCCAGCCACCTCACTCCTCACAACCACTTGAGCAAAGGGGAAGACACCTTCTATCTACCCTGACATCAGCAATTATGCCAAGGGTCGTTCGCCTCTCAGCGTGACTATTTAGAGACCCCATGTCTGTCACTGAGACGCTTTTTCCTCTGGGAAGATATTCTCCCTCCCGTCTGCAACAGCTGCCTCTGACCCCAGAGAAAGGGGCCTTGGTACTCCAGGATGTTCTGCCCCATCACAGAGACCCCCTCAGGGCGGGAGGACAGCGCTGGCTCTGAGGACATGTGTGCAGCCTGCGCGACTCCTGTCCCTTAATTAAAAGCGCGCTGGTGGTTTCTGCCCAGCTCTGGTCACGCTGTTTTATTGATCCATGGTGCTCTTGTCTCTCCAAGTCTCTTCAGTGACAACAGCCCTCAGGTGAAAGAGTGGCGGGCAATCACACAGTGGTGCCCCGGCAGCCCTGTGGCCTGCAGCCAGCGCCCCCGTCCTTGAAAAGGTCCAGGCACACACCTGGTGCCGCCTCCGTCCCGGCCCCTCTGCACAAGGGCAGCAACCCCCTGGACCCAGGCCCAGGGGGAGGGATCACGCATGCCCCTATGACTCCCAGTCATCCTCGTCCTCCTCTCCCTGTGGCTGCTGAGGCGGAGGCAGTGGCGGGATGGAGTCTGACACTCGGGCAAAGGCGCCTCCTGGGCCCTCGCTGGCCCCTGATCCAGGTCCTTTCCCGGAGATCCCTGGGAGGACAAAGGCTGAGAGTGAGAGAGCTGGGAGGGGGACACCAGTTCACCCGGCCCCTGGAGACATAAAAACAGGAAGGAAAAGGCAGGAGAACATGGGAGGTGCAAGACATCCCAGGCCCAGCCCAGGGAGGCAGCTGTGCTCCTACCTTTGCGCCGCATGGCCAGCTTGTTAAAGAGATCCGACATCAGGTCCCCACCTTGGCTTGTGGCTCTCACTGCAAAACAGGCAGGTCCGGGGTTCAGTGACATGGCCCTCCTGGTTCCCTGTCCCCGAAACACCCCCCAGCCCTCCATGGCCACCATGTTCACCACAAGCTCTTGGAGCTTCATCCCTGGACCCAGCACTGGGCACTAATAAGACAAAGGTGACATTTGAGGAGCACTCTCACGGCCACCGAGGGACATACTGCATGGGGAAGGAAACTGGCCCAGAGAGGTTGGGCAACCCGCCTGGGCCAAAGAGCACATCAGCAGCAGGATCAGGCTGCCAGGACACTGCTGCTGAGCACCCAGGTGTCACACTAAGCCAGTGTTTGGGATTCACAGCAGACAAGCCCTGCAGGCTCACAGAAGTGGCACTGAGCTCACCCTCAGGTCTCTGTCTCTAAAATACCTGACCATTTCCTTGGACAACTCTTGCAGCATCTGAGAAGATTCTCTTTTATCCTAGTTTCAGCTGGGTGAGCTTAGACAGGAAAGCACCATTAAGTGGCTCCCAAACCAGGAAGGAGCCCTTGGCCACCCAAGGCTTCCAGCAAATGCCCTGGGGAAGCACGAGGCGGGCGTGCAGCTGGGGTGTGAGCCTCAGCCGGGGGGAGGGGGGACAGGGAACCCTGAGGGACTTGGGTGGTGTGGGAAGGGAAGGTGGTGTCTTGCTTGGAGCCCTCCTACTGCAGTGGCCCTGGGGTCCCCTCACCTTGTTCCTGCTCCTTCTGTTTCTTCTTCTCCAGCTTGCGCTCCTTGACGCTGCGCAGCTTGGCCTTGCCGATGCCCCCAGCTTGGCGGATGGACTCCAGCAGCGAGGCCCGGCCGCTGGAGGGCTCGGCCACCTCCTTGGGCGCTCCCAGGACCGGAGCTGAGGGGAGAAGGTGCGAGGAGGAAGGGCTGCTCAGGCAGGGCCGGGCTGTGGGACGGCCTCACCCAGCCTGCAGGTGGGGGTGAAGCCACAGTCCTGAGTTGTCACCTCAAGAGCCTGGCTGTGGGGGAGGCACCTCCTTTTGAAAGAGGAAGCGGGTGGTGCAGCCAGGCCTTCAGAGACCACATGGGGCCTGGACATTGACGTCTGCAGCCGCCCGAGCTCAGGAGTGCTGTGTGCAGGCACCCCCTGCCCCGTCCACCTCCGTGACCAGGTGCCACCCTGTAGAGGGGCCCTGTGAGTTCCCCACGTGCTGACACTGTCTACTCGACACGGGAGCCTGCACAGCGTCTCTGTGCCGTTTCTGGATGCTGACACAGCCTGGGAGGTACGCCGTTAAACCTGAAATTTTGTAATTTCAGGGACACTGAATGTTTTGTTGCTGTAGTTTTCTAATTTTTTTTAGCAGACTCCTTTCTTCCATTGTTTTAACTGGGGACGGGGGGTTAACCCAGAGCCCCTCAGTTCTGGAGATCAGAATTCCAGAGCTCTAGAGTTTGAAAACCACTATTTTATGAACCCAGTGGAACACTATATTTGAGATGAGGACTATTCTGAAAATCTAGGATTGAAGACCACTTAGAGAAGCTCCCTCAGGAATGCTCAAATGAGACAGGGCGCCCCCCCCCCCCCGCACTGCTCCCACCTGAAGGGGACACGCTGCTGCCGCTGTCATCCTCCCTGGCACCTTGGCCTGCAGGGGCCATGGTCTGGGGTACAGGGGCGCTGACCAGCGCTGCAGGAGCTGGGGGAGGTGGTGGTGGTGGTGGAGGTGGTGGGGGTACGGATAGCACCCCATTCTCTAGGTCTGAAAGGTGGTGGAGATGGCGGTGGGGATGGTGGTGGAGGTGGTGGGGGTACGGATAGCACCCCATTCTCTAGGTCTGAAAGGGAAGGTGAGAAAGTGTGAGTTCCGAGGGAAGAGGGAAGACAGTGGCCAAACAGGAAGCTCCTGGCTTGAAAGGCTCAGCTACCTCCGTGTGGAAGGTGGGCAGTTCTGGAATGGTGCCGGGGGCAGAGGGGGCAATGCCAGGGCCCAGGTCAGCGCTGTAAGTGAGGTCATCCGCGATGCCGGGCAGGTCAGGCAGGTAGGACGGGACGTCGATCTCCGGCACCTGGCCCAGGTCTGGCACATAGAAGTAGTTCTCTGGGACCTGCAGAGTTAGGTGGGGGCATGTGAGTAGTGACAGGGACCACAGGGGCAGCCAGTGGGCCTCGTGCACAGCCCACAGAGCTGGGTGGGATACAGCCTGGGCAGCCCCCGCCTCCCTCCCCACCTGCTGCTCCAGCTGCTCTCTCTTGCTGATAGACAGGGGGGCATCGAACAGCTTCTCCTCCGTCTCTGCCCCCAGCATCACGTGGGTCTTTGTGACAGCACCAGCCAGGGGATCCAGGAGGACATACTTCTTGTACCTACAGTGGCGGGGTGGGGACAGGCAGGCCATCGTCTGTCCCAGGCCTGTGGTCTGCACATACGTCTCTCACTTCCTCGGGACACAGTGTGCATTGGGATTCCCAGGTCTCCCGAGCCAAACCCCACAGTCAGTTCCTGGCTCCCAGCCTCATGCTACTGCCAGCCGAAGTCTGCCACCCCTGGGGTCCCCGCTAAGCCAGGCAGGCCTCCCCCAAGACCCCGTGGCCCTGCCACCCTCTGGCCATACAGGTTCTCAGTGGTGTTGAAGAGCAGCAAGGAGCTGACGGAGCTGATGTTGCTGGGAAGAGCCCCCAGCCCCTCCTCGGCGGCGTCCTCGGGCTGCGGCGTGATGCTAACGCACACCGGGAAGTACTGCAGCTTCTCCTGGGGACGGCGGGGGTGACAGAGGGGTGGAGAGGTCAGTGCCCACCCCTCTTGGAGGACAGAACCCCCAGTGGGCCCTGAGCCCCTCCCCAGCCTCTGAGCAGGTGGCCAGTGCCAGGGTGGCCTCACCTGCAGGGCCCGCCCATCCAGGGGGCGGTGCTTGCTCTGGATCCTGTGGCGGGGGCGTCTCTGCAGGCCAGGGTCCTGGGCGCCCGTGAAGATGGAGCTGTGTTCCTGCAGGTGCTCTGGGGCTGGGTACTTGGCGCTGGAGAACACCTGTGGACGCAGGGGCCAGCCTGAGGGACCCGAGAGGCTCCAGACAGCCGAGGGTTGGGTGGCAGGAAAGCCCGAGGTCTGGCTGGATAGCAGGGGCAGGGACCCGGGCAACCTCAGACACGGCAGAGGGAGGCGCTGCCCACCAGCCACACACACAGTGCTACGCGGGCTACCTTGATGGCCTTCTTGCTGCCCTTGATCTTCTCAATCTTGGCCTGGGCCAAGGAGACCCTCTCCCCGATGGCCTGCAGCTGGCTCCGGCTCACCTCCACTCGCTGGGAGATCCTGCCACAGAGGACAGCCCAGAGTCTGGGGCTGCTCCCGACCCCGGCAGCCACCGGCGCGCCTCTCCTGACAGCAGCCCTGCCAGCCCAGGGGCTTGGCCAAGGGCTCTTAAGTCGGTGCTGCCCACATGACCTCTACAGGGAAAATCCGACCTGGAGGGTCTGGAGTTAACTGCACTGGGCCCTCGGAGCTCTCGGAAGGGATGGAAAGCACCCTGGGCCCGAGCTGGCACCTGCACCCGCCATCAGGCAGGCGCACACAGAGAGCCCTAACTGCTCACAGGCGGGTACACAGCCGCTCACAGCTGGCACCGCATTTCCACACACCTCACGACCACGGGAAGGAGACAGAGCTGCCCCTGCAGAGGACACTGTAGTTCAGAGAGGCCAGAGACGGGCACGGCTGGGCCTAAGTGCCACCACCTGAGTTCAGACCCTAGACCTGTGGACCAGGATGTGCCCTGCATGTGACAAATGTACACGGGCTCTTTCTGGTCTGGCTGCTCACCTGCTCCCACCCTCCCCAGACAAGGGTGGGCTCGGGGACACCAGCCACCTGCTATTCCCTGCACGTGCAAAGCACGTCCGTTTCATGGCCTCTGCATACAGTGGACTCCGTGGTGCACACATCCATGTGGCTGGCTCCTGCACGTCACTGAGTCCCCTCCTCACTGTGACCCAGAATCCGGAGATGCACCCGCCATGTCCCAACCCCACACTGGCTGTGCTTTTCTCGAAGGTGCCACTGGACACGGCGCATCTCTTGCCTGCTGTGCTCCAGTCCAGGGGGTCAGGGCTGGGTTTTGTCCCCTGCTGCATTCCCAGAGCCTGGGACGGTGCCTGGCACATGGTAGGGGCTCACTCCAGAGCTAAGGAATGACCGAGGTCCAAGTGTCTAACCCTTACAGGCGCACGACCACACACTTTTCCACATCGTTCAGCCATAGCGAGGTTCTTCTCACTGCAAAGTGATCTCTGACTCACAAGTGCCCTGCTGTCCTCCTCCCAATCAGCCCGTAGCTCCCCTACCCCCAGGAGCCCCAGCCCTTGGCCACGACAACCGTGCTCCACATTCACAGCGGGCACTGAGCCCCCACTGCGAGAGTGAGCATGTGAGAGGCTCAAGAAATGAGGGGCAGAGGCTCAAGTGTGGTTGCCCGGGAAAGGTAGGAGGGTGAGGTGGGGTCACAGAGGGGCCCCACTGTCTCCAGGTTCAGAGGCCCCAGGACGAGGGACCACTGTGATCTCGCTAAGGGTGAAATGCACAGTCAGGAACCTGCCTGAGCCACTCACCAACTCCAGAAGGTCTCAGCCTCCAGAAAACCCACCGGTCAGCCTTTTTCACAATCCAGGGTCTCCACGCCCTGAGAAACCTGCCCTGATTCTCCTGACCCCTCCTGTGCGGGGCACAGCAAGGGGGCAGGGTGGGACCACAGGCAGGCCCCACCGCAGCACGGCTCTCCTTACAGCCAGCCAGGTGGGCGGGGAGGGCACCGCTTCCTTCCGCCAGAGGAGGCTTCCGACAGAGCTCGGGCTCTGTCTCGCCCAACAGGGACGAGCTGTGTTAGTGCAGCCCAGTGCCCAAGGCAGACACATTCTGACCCTGGGTGCTGAAGCGACCTTCTCTGGTCCCCTGCACACTCCACTCAAGGTCCACAGGAGACAGGGCAGGACACGGGGACTGGAGACGGACCGTGGCTGCTCTGTCCGGTGCTGCCATCCAGGAGAGAAGGGCCGATGGCTCAAAGTGGCAAACAGCAAGCTCAGCAATGAGCCTAGCAATCCGTCAGCTCTTACAAAAGGAAGAGGCGATCCTTTGCACAAGATGGCGCCGAAGGCAAAGAAGGAAGCTCCTGCGCCTCCCAAAGCCGAAGCCAAAGCAAAGGTTTTGAAGGCCAAGGAGGCAGTGCTAAAAGGCGTCCACAGCCACAAAACAAAGAATATCCGTACATCACCCACCTTCCAGCAGCCAAAGACACTGTAGCTCGGGAGGCAGCCCACAGATCCTCGGAAGACTGCCCCCAGGAGAAACAAGCTTGACCACTATGCCATCATCAAGATCCCCCGACTCAGACCACTGAGTCTGCCATGAAGAAGATAGAGGACAACAGCACACTTGTATTCATTGTGGACATCAAAGCCAATAAGCACCAGATCAAACAGGCTGTGAAGCCCTAGGACATTGATGGGGCCAAGGGCAACGCCCTGATCCAGCCTGATGGAGAGAAGGCATACGTTCACCTGGCTGCCAATTATGATATTTTGGATGTTGCCAACAAAGCTGGGATCATCTAAACTGAGTCCAACTGGCTAATTCTAAATATGTGTATCTTTTCAACTTAAAAAAAGAAAAAGGAAGAGGCGAGTCTCGGGGCCCAGCGCTGTGCTCGGGTCGCAGCATTTCTGTTCCTGGCAGGTTACAAGACTGGTGCCGGGGGAACCCGCAACACGGCGCCCCTGGTCGGCAAGGACCTGCTGGCTCCTAACAAACCCTGTGCAGGAGACGAGCTGTGGCGCTGGAGGCGGGTACACACGGGACAAATCACACCAGACGCAGCACGGCAACCGCACGGCCCGCCGGGGAGAGCACTGATCCCAGCCCTGCACGTGGGCGCCGGCAGGGCCCGTCCAGTTCAGCCAAGCCTGAGTAGGAAGCTGGGGACATCAGGCGGGGGAGGGCGGACGGGCGCAGGACAGAACCGAGGAGGAGGGGCAGCAGTGATGAGCCGGAATTCCCAAACAAGGAACGTGAGGCTGCTTTAGGTTTAAACAATCACATGCGGGCACAGAGGGCAGAGGGAACCTGGTTTAGCAGCAGTTCCAGGGGACAAGGATGGGTGTCGGTCTTCCGCCGCACTGCCCTTCGCTGACTCTTCCCCTCCTCCATCCTGTCCCCAATCTGTCACCGTGTCCGGTTTCCTTTGCAATATCTCACTGAACCCTGCCTGACTGCCAGCCTGGCCCTGAACTGGGACCTCATCCCTTTCACATCCCGACTACAGCGATAGCTTCCCTGGAAACCGCCCTCCCCATCATGTCCATGCTGTGACGGCTGCCCGACGAGCCCTCCCAGAACTCCTGTCTCATCACCTCCCTGTGCAAGGGCCGTGGCTGCCTACGATCCCTGAGTCAAGCTCAAAGTCCTGTCTTGTTAGGAAACCCCCACGGGCCCTCAGTCACTTAACCCAACTTCTCACTCCTCGCCACACTACCCTCCCTGCCCTGGAGGCGTGGAGGAACTCGAGGGCAAACCCCAGAGGGAAGCCAGGCCCACAGGGACACCAAGGTGAGCTGTGCACACCTTGTTCTGCAGTGAAGGAGCCGAGCGTGAGGGACAGGCGGCACGTCTGTGCTCCCCGTACAGAAGCAGCCTGTGACACCCCGTGTTCCAGGCCACATCCGGGCTTCTCGCCCAGCCTGTGCCCCATGTCCTGACTCCTCCAGGTGAGCTGCACGGCCACCTTCCCACCCTGCCCTCCTCCAGGAGCCCCGGCCCTGTGCGCAGGCGCAGTTCTCCTCCCAGCACCTCCTACGGCTTGTTCAGGGAACGGCCCCCCTCTCCTTGGGGAAACCCCCTCTCCCTCAGGCTCAGTCCCTGTGCTTCAGGGGGCGACAGCCAGGGCTGAGGCAGCGCCCAGGTCTAAGCCAATCGTGGTGTCGCATCCCCCAGCCCAGGAATTGATTCTGGGTAGACGTGAGAACCAAGCCAGACCAGATGGGGCGAGTGAGACTCTGGAGGAGACTTTGCCCAGTGGGGACATTCTTTCCTTCGACCTGGCCATGCGTGCATGAGCCCTGGCCCAACCGGCTGTCACCCTCCACCACGAGAGCTCCCGGGCACCCAGGAGAAAACCTTCCGCGCTGGGCTCCTGCCTTGGACCCCTCCTGCACAGGGAAGCCAGCTGGGGCCCCCAGGACCAAGAACCACCAAAGGGGCTGCTCCCAGAGGGTGTGTTCCTGGGACGGTGGAGGGGGGGGCAGCACCTACCTGCTAAAGATGTCTGCGGAGACCTTTTGGAGGTACTGCAGGGCGTCCGCCACCTGCTGGATGGCCTCTTCCCTCCGCAGGTCCGGCTGGATCAGGGGCACCGCGTATGTCTGACCTGCCAAGCAGTGCTGGGTCCTCACGGGAGTCATGGTGCCTGTGTGGGGGACACAGAGCATCAGGACCACCCCACGCTCCCACCACCCGCACAGCACAGCCCTCATGCCACCCGCCTGCACAGGGGACAGAGCATTGGTGGGCCCAGGAGCTCCCAGGAGGCAGGAGGCACCTGATGCCTGTGGAGGGCATGAGGGAGGGAGAGGGCAGGACCAGGGACCGGGAGCTGGTAGGGACCATAGTTCAGAGAAGGGGCAACATTTCCTGTCTCCCTAAAAGGCGCATGGTACCTGCAGGCACCTTGTCCATACATGGGTTCAACTCCTCACATGTAGAGGAACAGGAAAGAAACCCTGGGCGCAGAGTGAAGAAAGGGCTGGAAGTGAGGGATGGTTGGGGGAAGGGGAGGGCACTGCCTGAATCAACCGCCAAATGGTGCCGGATCTGGAAAAGCACAGAAAATGTGCACACTTGGGTCTTCCCACTGGAACCCCCAGGAACTCGGGGCCTGCTCCTGACACATTCTAGGCGGTGGCCAGTGACTCCAACTAATGGAATGTCCCGGCTCTGCTCAGACAGGCTGGAGCTAAGGGCCAGGAGGGAGAGGGTGCACGTGGGGGCGGAGGACAGGAAGGGTTTTGCAAGGCCAGGGCAGTCTGTTTATCTCGGATCTAATTAACTCGCCTCCCTGATGCCATTACAGCAGCAATCGCCTGCACATGGCGCTGATTTGATTGGCAGGACTCAGGCCAGGCAGGGGATTAAGGGATCAGGCCCCTATAATTAGGCCTAATCACGGTGCCTCACCAGAAGACCATGAGCAACACATTAGTGAGGCCTGGCACCGTACCAGACCTGCTCCCCAGCACCACACTGGACTTGGTTGCACTGGAGTGTGGGGTGGGCTGGCTAAGTATGGCAGGAAGGGCCTAGGAGGCTTCATTTGAGCTTAAAGTGCTGTGTGACCTTGGGTAAGTTGCTTGCCCTCTCTAAATCTCTGATTCTTTCCATTTCCCATTCTCTGGACTGAGAAGTGAAACTGCTAAGAACTGGTTATTCCCAAAGATAATAAGGTATATATATTAGACGAATATATCACACCAACATGTTCACCAAGCTGGAGCTACTCCTGTTCCTCCTGCTGGCTCCTCCAGCCCATCCTTCTACCTTCCTGGTCTCTCCTACCCTCCGAGGCCAGCACTTTCCGTGCTCTGAGATGACCATTCTGCTCTTCAGCTCTCTCTCCAGCAGCCAGTTCCTCCTCTGCACTCACGCTCCCAGGGGACACCCTCAGCATCCCAGACCTGCACCTGCCCTGAATGCTCATCAGGCCCAAGAGTTACTCCTCCCTCCCCACTTCTCTTCCCTCCTGTCAAATAACCAAAACATGGCCAGCTGGTCCCAACCACCTCCGGACCTGACCCACTGAGACCATATACCTTTTAGGAACTTTCTTTCCCCTGCCTTCCTTTGTATTTATACTGATGCAGATCTGCTGCCATTCCTGACTTAGTCTGTGCCTTGGGCCTCCCAGCTGTAAGATCTGGAGGCAGGTAAAGATAGAAGAAACTTTCTCCCCACATCTGGAGATGAATTCCTTGTTAGTTGCCACATCTGAATGTGTTTGTGCAGGCACATGTGGGAGGTCACAGGTCTCCTAAACAAGGAAGTAGAAAGCCTGTTCAAGAGCTAAGAGACTTGGCCAGGCACGGCTCAAGGCTATTATCCCAGCACTTAGGGGGCCGAAGCAGAAGCAGGAGGTTTGCTTTAGGCCAGGAGTTTGAGACCAGCTGGGAAACATAGCAAGATCCCATCCCCACAAAAAATAAGAAAAATTAGCCAAGCGTGGTAGCATACACCTGTAGTCCCAGCTATTTGGGAGGCTGAGGCAGAAGGATCACTTGAACCCAGGAGTTTGAGGCTGCAGTGAGCTATGATGCCACTGTATTCTTCCTGGGAAACAGAGCAAGACCCTGTCTCTATTTAAAAAAAGAAAAAAGAAAAAGAAGAGGCTGAATACAGCTGATAAGTGGCTTACCCTTTCTACCTGCAAATGTCTTCTGATCATCTATTAGGTGCAGGACAGGACTGCAACAAAGATGAAGAAGACACCATGCTAGCCAGGGACATCCCTCAGAAACAATGAAACCTTAGTGATAGTTGCTCCAATCCAGCCAGGAATACAGAGCTAAGGAATGGTGAATCTCTTCTGGGGTTAGGGGAGTCAGGAAGAGCCTCTTAGCAGAATCTGTATCTCTCTACCAGGCCCAGGGAGACGGGTGCAGAGAAAATTCCAGGTAAAAGGAACAGCTTGAACAAAGGTGTGTGTGGGAAGGGCAAGGGGTCTTGAGTGTGAGGGTACAATCGTGCTTGGGGAAGTATTAAGAAAAAGAATGATAAAGACAGGCCAGTTTGTGAGAAACACTGAATACCATGGCTAGGAACCTGGCCTTGAGCCAGGAATGAAATCCTTAGACCTGTGCTATCCAATACGGTAGCCACCTGCTACACATGGCTACTGCCACTTAGAATGTGGCTAGTCCCAATCGAGATGTATTTTAAGTGTAAAATTCACACCAAATTTCAAAGACTTAGGAAAAAAGATAAGATATCCTTTGGGTTATAATGTATTACTAATTTTACCTTTCTCTTTCTTTCCCCCTTCCCCCTTCCTCCCTCCCTCTCTTCCTCCCTCCCTCTCTTCCTCCCTCCCTCTCTTCCTCCCTCCCTCTCTTCCTCCCTTCCTTCCTTCCCTCCTTCCTTCCTCTGTGATTCCACCCTTGATCTTAGCCAAAAAGCCAAGAAGTGATCAGTCTCCTGTGATTCTAAAGACATGAGTCTCTGTTCCACTTTTCAAGCAGGAGACATCCTAGATGGATTCTGGCCTAATCATCAAAATTAATCATAACATTATAACTTTATTGCCTCTTCCTTCCTACATTTGATAGTGCTTAAATGATTATCATGAAGATAATCTTATTGTCCCTCCTTCAGCAAATAGTATTTTATTATGCTACAATGTTACTACTAATTACTAATATTAGCTAATAATACCTATATATGTTAGAACCATTCTAACTCTTTCTCAAGAATCATCTCATTTAATTCTTTTTTTGAGACAGAGTCTCAACTCTTGTTGCCCCCACTAGAGTGCCATGGCGTCAGCCTAGCTCACAGCAACCCCAAACTCCTGGGCCCAAGCAATCCTTCTGCCTCAGCCTCCCGAGTAGCCGGGACTACAGGCATGCGCCACCATGCCCAGCTAATTAGTTGGCCAATTAATTTCTTTCTTTCTTTTTTTTTTTTAGTAGAGACAGGGTCTGTCTCTTGCTCAGGCTGGTCTCAAACACCTGAGCTCAAATGATCCACCCACATCAGCCTCCCACAGTGCTAGGATTACAGGCATGAAGCCACCGCACCCAGCCTAATTCTTAATATGTCAATTTATCATCATCCCCAATTTTAGATAAGGAAATGGAATTGAAGAGACCAAATAACATTTTTGTCAACATCTAAACACTACTTTGTGATCAAGCCCAGTGCTGAACCTATCTTGTTTGAATTCGGAGGGTGTGTTATTTATCGGTACATTTTATTGTTTTTATACATTAGAAAAGCAAATCTGAAAGAGTCCAAAAATTTTGTTATTACTACCAATTATAAGACACCTTACCCTGATACTCCGTCCTTAGGTAAACCTAGACTAGACGTTTTCCACGTTAAGGGAAGAACAGGGGATCTCACACGAGCTGAGCCCCTCCTGTGTGGGAAACACTTTCATTACTTTAGCAGACATCACCCCAATTGTTTATCTTCACAACAAAGCTTGGAGTTGTGTATTATGATCTATTTTTATGAATGAGAAAACCCAGACACGAAGATGTTACTTGACAATTATCTTTGGAAAAGTCTTTGGTGCTCATCTAAACAGATGATGCATAACCTCTTATTTACTGGAAATACACAATAAATACTTGACAAGACACAGGGGATTTAGTTGAAAAAAAGCTGAAAATTTTATCAACAGTAGTCTTCTATTAGGGAGTTTTAGAAACCCTAAGTCTTCAGTTCCGTAAGGAATGACTGCAACTCACTCTAGGTCTGTGATATTTCCTGCTCATCCATTTTTGTTACTTTTTAATGGATTCCACAAATACATATTCTTTAATAAGGGTGCTTTTCTGGCATCTATGCCATGTTCGAGATTTCTTCCAGATTCTTTTAATTGAGAAACATTATATATATATATACATATATACATACATACATACATATACACATATATACACACATATATATGTGTGTGTATATATATATATATATATATATATATATATATATATATATATATATATATATCATGTATCTCATAATAGTTTATAGGACAGCGCTGCCTTAGAGAATCTGGTAAGAACCATGTAAGCTCCCAGAAGAATGAACTACACCATGCCCCTCTCTCAAGATGCGGTTTACAGTTTCGGAAGTGCAGGGCACCCCTCCTGCAAACCATTCCGACACCCCAAGTTTGGGAGCCTCAGCTGTGGGCCACCAGGCACCAAGCAGGGCTTAAGCAGCCCACGTGGGGTCCGCTAAAAGGGGCCGGCGGCCCGCTCAGTAGCGAGGGGAGCTGCAAAAGGCCCGGGCGAGGACTGGGTTCAGCCCAGAGGGAGGGGAGGCGCGTGACCGTCCGGGCGGCGGCGAGGGAGGGAGCGGGGCCTGGCGCCCGCGGTCCCCGCGCCCAGCCGGCTTCGGCCTCGCCGCGCGGGCAGCTGGGCCCGGGGAGACGGGCAGCGAAGCAGCACGACGACGCACCCGCCGGCGCAGCGAGGTCGGGCCGCAGGCGGAAGCGCAGCCGGGCCGGGCCTGCAGGCCCAGGCGCCTCTGCGGGCGCCCGCTCGCGCGCTCCGTCCCCGTGCGGGCCGCGGCCGCGGGTACGGCTCCGCGCCCGGCCTCCCGCCCAGGAAGGGGCGCGCCGGGCCCTCGCCGCCACCGCACCCACCAGCCCCTCCGGGCCCGCCCGCTGCCAGGCCGCCCCCCGACGCCGCGCGCCCCCCAACCCCACCTGCAGCCGGCCGCGGCGCCGCTCCTCCCCTGCGCGCGCGCGCACGCGCGCCCCCGCCGCCGCGCCGCCGGGTCCTAGCGCCGCCTGTCCGGGGCTCCCCCGCGCGTCTCCGAACCCGCTGACCCCGAGCGCTGCCCGGTCGCGCCGAGTCGCCGCCCGGAGCAGAGTTCCCCCCGCCGCCTCCGAGTTTCCGCCGTCCGCGCGGCCCGATCTCTTTTCTTCCGACCTCCAGGCCGCCCCCACGCGCTCCCCCAGCGCTGCAGACCCTCCTCCCACGCCCCTGTCCCCCCTCTGCGTCCCCTCAGGCTCACACCTCGGCTGTCCCCGCCCTGGGCCCTCGAGGGCAGCCCGCGCCCCGCAGGTGTCCCGGAGCAGGACGCCCCGCTCAGGTGCGGAGCCCGCCCCCTCTCGCCGCCCGCACCGCGCTGCTCCAGTCGCTTCCCGCGCCGCGCCCTCCCGCCTGTACCCCGGCGGGGCTCTCCCGGTCCAGAGTTCCCGCCCAGCCCCTTTATGGGGGAGATCGGGCAGCCGGACGCAAAGGACAGACGTCCTGTGATGCCACTCACCTGCGGCACCTGGAAGGTCACATTCAGAGTGGAGGCGTCGCTGCCTGGGCGGGAAGCGGGGCGGGAGCTGCGCAGGGGTGTTTAGGGCGCACAGAGTTAACAGGATGAAACACTCCGGAGATGGATGACGGCGATGCGAAAGGACTTTATGCCGCTAAATAGACACTTTAAAATGGTTCAAATGGTCATTTTCATGTTATGTATATTTCGCCACACACACCAAAAAAAGCTAATAAAAAGCTGGTAAAGGCCGGACGCGGTGGCTCACGCCTGTAATCCTAGCTCTCTGGGAGGCCGAGGCGGGCGGATTCCTCGAGGTCAGGAGTTTGAAACCAGCCTGAGCAAGAGCGAGACCCCGTCTCTACTATAAATAGAAAGAAATTAATTGGCCAACTAATATATATAGAAAAAATTAGCCGGGCATGGTGGCGCATGCCTGTAGTCCCAGCTATTCGGGAGGCTGAGGCAGGAGGATTGCTTGAGCCCAGGAGTTTGAGGTTGCTGTGAGCTAGGCTGATGCCATGGCACTCACTCTAGCCTGGGCAACAAAGCAAAAAAAAAAAAAAAAAAAAGCTGGTAAAAAGAAAGGAAAAAAGAGCCTAAAAATAGTTAAATACATAAAGGAAGCATCGCTGGAGAGATCCAGGAATAGTTCCTCCTGGAATCCACTGTCTTGCCGCAAGACTTTCTGGCCCTTCTCATTTAGGGCAGCCAGATAGAAATACAGGATGCCCAGATAATTTGAATTTCAGATGAACAACAAATAATTTTTTAGCGTAAGTATGTCCCCAACTGAGCATGGAGGTGACATAGACAACATGCTTAGACTAAAAAATTATTTGTTGTCTAAAATTCAAAATTAACTAAGCGTTTTATTTCTTATTGGCTAAATCTGTCAACTCTGTTCCTTTCCTCATACTCTCCCACTCTCCCAGTTTTGTCCTCCTTCCTTACCCCCTCTTCTGGGGGAGTTAGGTTGAGGTGTAACACGAACATGTCACTGTCTGAGTGGCTGCAGCATATGGTCCCCACAAGTGGTGAGGAAGAGGTGGGTTTCCACCTATGTTGCAGACTGAATGTTTGTTTCCCCGGGAAATTCACATGTGGACACCCTAACCCCCAGTGTGATGGTGTTGGAAATGGGCACCTTTGGTAGATGATTAGGTTAGACGAGGTCATTATGGTACAGCCCTTATGATGGGTTTAGTAAGAAAAGAGTTCACTTGAACTTGTGCTCTCTCGCCCCACCCCCACCACCCCCACCACCCACCCTGCACCATATGACAACACAGAGAGAAGGCATCTGTCTGCAAACCAGGAAGAGAGCCCTCAGCAGTAACATAATCAGCTCCCACCTTGTTCTTGGACTTCCCAGCCTCCAGAACTGTGAGAAATAAATTTATGCTGTTAAAGCCATCCAGCCTGTGGTATTTTTGTTTTGACTAATACAACTTGCAAACACATTTCCTCTTCACCTGACATGAGCAATACCTGAATTGCTTAAGGCACCCAGGACACATCAAGGAAGGGGAAATGTCCCAAGCACAAGGCCCAGCCATGCCCAAGAGAAGCAGCCGGGCATAAAGGACAGCACACAGGCTTGGGGCTCTGCCACTCATTTTTTGTGTTACTTGGACAAGGTATTGAATGGGGCCTCAGTTGCTCCATTTGTAAATCAAGATTAAGAGTCTTTGCTTTGCCTCCTTTTTAATACTGTACAGAAAGGATGTCACACTACTTTGTAATTTTAAAGTTTATTTGAACACAAAAGGAAATGTGCTTATGCCTGTAATCCTAGCACTCTGGAAGGCCAAGGCAGGAGGATTCCTTGAGGTCAGGAGTTCCGGAGCAAGAGCAAGACCCTGTCTCTACAACAAATAGAATACTTAGCTGGGTGTGGTGGTGTGCACCTATAGTCCCAGATTCCTGGGAGGCTGAAGCAAGAGGATGGCTTGAGCCCAGGAGTTTGAGGTTGCAGTGAGCTATGATGATGCCACTGCACTCTAGCCAGGGTGACAAAGCAAGACTCTATCTCAAAAAAAAAAAAAAAAAAATCAAGCCTGGCTGTGTCTTCTCACGAAAGGACTGCTAGACAGCACACCCAGTTCTAGAACCAGACCAGTTAGTTCAGCCTTCAGATAGTTTATTCTCACCTTCATAAAAGCTCTCTACCTCCTCTCCACTGACAGGCTCATCCCAGATCTAATTTTAAAGATTTTCTAGGAGCTGGATTTCAAAGATATTTAACCTCAGCCCCTCAAGCTGCAATGGGAATCTTTGACCTCAGTCTAGACAAAGAGAACCTGGATGTCATTCTAACATGTGGACCCAAGGCCCAGCGTGGGTCTGGAGGAGAAAGGCTGCAGGTGGTCCTTGGCAGTCTGGTTGGGGCTGCCAGCATTTGCCAGCCTCCTGCATTTATTATGATCCACGAGCAGGGATGTTATAAATTCCTCATGGAGGTGTAAAGAGAGTGTAGCAAGGCATCCTGAGGCCTGATCTACAGGAAGAAAATTGGAAACAAGACAATAACTTAGTTTAAGTTGTTCCCTTCCTCAGCCTCTAGCCCATGTGCCCTTGTTCTTGGAACAGCCTCCCCTCTCCTGGAAACCACATTTCTCTCCAGTATTCAGTGTCACCATGATGCCTTGCTGTGTGGGAAGGCTTCCAAGTATGGCTGGAGAAAGGAGGATGGAAATGTCCCACCCTCTAGAAAGACAGACAGATGCAGCCAGACAGAAGTACAGCCAACTTCTCTTGCTCAGGTTTCTAATGGATTTGAAAGGAGCCTGGGTTCAGAACTCTGTGCTGGGCAGGCAAAAACAGGAACCTTCCCCTGTAGGAGCTTTGGGCTAATGTCATTGCTGGCACAAGAGCCTGTTTTATGAAACACCTGTGGATCCTTGTGTTCACAGTGAGTTAGTCACAGCATCCTGCCTTGCCCTGGGTGAGACCTTCTATACTTCTACTCCTTCAGGAAGCCTCCTTGAAGGCTGTAACCCAGGGACTTCCCTGTTAAGGTGGCCTTGAATCTCCCAATTTTCTAATAACAGCTAAAGACCAACCTTGAGCTCTCCCTACTCTTAGCTGCTCGTTTCTATCCCATACTAGCAGGCAGCCTGCTGGGACTCTGTTTTTCACAAACATCTGAAAGGAGGCAAATGAAAGGAAATGTACATCTTCCTCTTCACATTCCCCACCTCACAGCCTTTAAATCTATTTCTCTAGCCCAAAGGAGTTCCTGAGAAGCTATGGGGCCAGACAGAAGGGGGTAAACTCCAGGCCTTCATTTCCCACCCAAAACCATCTCAGGGGCAAAAATCACATCCCCTGCTATAAGCCTGACTACATCTCAGAGATAACCAAGTCTGTGGGGAGTTAGCTACGCTCCCAGATAAAATCGGGTCCCTTAGGCAGAGGCCGTTGCAAAGCATAAGAAAATAATACAATAGAGAAATAAAAGAATACACAGAGATGAAGGTATAGTTTTATAGATTTATATAAATAATAAGCAAAGTGAGAGTGCTCGGGCGACCCCACAATATCCCCATCACTTGTGAGGCCAAGAGTGAAGTTTCACATGGGTATTTATAGGTACAGATATCGGTTGCCAGGGTAACAGGTTTACATAATAACAAGTAGTTCGTTTTAGGTTAAAAGTTTTTCAAAAGGCTTCTATAGGTCCCTTAATCAACTCTATCTAAGTGAACAAATGGTTATAAAATCTTGCAAAGACAAACTTCTAAGTTCTAAGATATAGCTATCACTTAACAGAGGGGCTACACAGAGATATAGTGGCTCCATATTTCTTTATCTAGTTATTGTGGATGGAGACAGTCAGGGGTGAGCAGGAACTGTCCTTTGGGCTAATTGCTTTTAGCCACAGGTGTCAGTCTCTCAGGTAGGGCACTCTGATCCGTTCTCATCCAGTGGCTCCATGCAGACCTGCTTTGTCTCCATGCAGACCTGCTTTGTCATTCAAAGCTCTATGGTAGGCCGGGCGTGGTGGCTCATGCCTGTAATCCTAGCACTCTGGGAGGCCGAGGCGGGCGGATTGCTCAAGGTCAGGAGTTCAAAACCAGCCTGAGCGAGACCCCGTCTCTACCATAAAAATAGAAAGAAATTAATTGGCCAACTAATATATATAATATAAAAATCAGCCGGGCATGGTGGCTCGTGCCTGTAGTCCCAGCTACTCGGGAGGCTGAGGCAGGAGGATTGCTTGAGTCCAGGAGTTTGAGGTTGCTGTGAGCTAGGCTGACGCCACGGCACTCACTCTAGCCTAGGCAAGAAAGCGAGACTCTGTCTCAAAAAAAAAAAAAAAAAAAGCTCTATGGTCTCTGTGCCTTCCCAGGATCTCACACTGTCTGATTCCACCTCGCAGTGAGTAAATTTCCACACCAAGGAAATACGAAAGCATAAGACAGCCTCAGCCCTCGAGTCAGGGAAGTCAAGAAACCCGTGCCTGCTGACAACAACT